CGTTCGGCTTCTCGACGATTTCTCGTGTTATTTACATAAAAATAAGTTTGCATTTCGGTGAAAGGAGCCGAGCCTTGCCCCATCCCATCTCGGAAATCCGATCATTTTCCATTTCTTTTTTTATATTTATAAATTAAAAGATATGCAAAGTAATCGAAAGAAATCGAATCGTACGAAACCCTTTTCGAAAATTGTATGTCTGCGTTATTATATCTCATTCGCGATATATTTGCTCGTCGTATTATAATACAAATAATATGAGTAAATCTTATTTTATTTGCGTTTTATTACCGTGACTATTAGCACTAATATCTCAAACTGGACTCCAATTTACCGTGAAGAAAGTTGTGTTAAGCAACTTTCCGCTTTAGAATGGAATAATTAACTTTGACCTAGTACTCGTATGTGCAATTCAGCACAAGTTGGCAAATGTTCATTTAATTTGCTTGTGTTCGAGCTCGTTGAAGATCTGTCGGCACTTATAATCAAGAAGAAAAGTTTCTTACAACGAGCAAGACGTGCAGACATGCAATTCCGAATATCGAATGCAACATGCGTACAATTAGTCCTGTGTATCACGTATTCCGTGCGCAGAATAAATAAATATGAAAATTCCCGTATCATTTGAATACTCAGCTTTATTGATTTTTATATTCCTAATTTTTTACCATCATTCGAAGATGCAACGCTCATGAAAATAAATCGTTATGAATAAAATCCGAGATAAAGAGAAAAAAAGAGATGATTTAAGATCTTTCTTGCATTGCGTTATTTTCATCTTTTCATTTTTTTTCTTATTTGAAGTGTAGTTTTTAATATTTTTATTACTTTTTTAATTATTTTATTATATTACTTTTATTATTATATATTTCAGTTACTTAACTTTTACCATTATATTTTCTTATTTAACAATTTTTACATAATTCCGTTTCTTCACACAGCAATAAATAACAGCAACGTTATAATCCGTTATTAAAAAATCCGTATATTTAATGATCAGGATATATAAGAAATTTTTATAATCGATTATGTCTACATGTAAGAATAACGAGGTACATCTCCCGATAGGGAGATGTGATGTACAGAAACAGTTATGGATAACGGTTTCACTCAATTAGAATAAACGTGTTGGTATCCTTGCTATCATAATTATATAATTGCTCCATGAAGGATATTTTGATATTACGTAAACTTTACCATACTGCACATAAAAGGAAAGTGATAATAACCGCAAACAATAATGTAATGCAAATTGATCGTGCATTGACATCGAGATTACCGAATTATTTCCGTTGATTGCTGAGTCCCACCCAGCAATATAATAAATGTATTTCACTTAATTATCTGATACCAGCTAAACCAGTATATTAATCGCAATTTCCGCAATGAAATATCAACTGGTCGCCGTATTCGACCGATCGAGAAATCTAAAATTGGAATATTTAGGAATGCAAATTATTTCAAACACGGAATGATAAATTTCTTCCTTCCGACTGAAAATATTCTTCACATATCTCACACTTGCATCATTGATTGCGACAATATATTCATTATACAAATTAAGCGATGCACCTACGAGACAACAATTGAATCTTTAATTATAGGATCTTTCAATGTTGCATAAGTGATTTCTCTTTATTTATTTACCGACAATGGAGAGCAACTATTGATTTGAGAAATAATTTCTCGAATTTATAAAGTACTGTCTAGAATCATCAAATATTAATAATTACAGAAATATTCAAATTATTCTCAATATTTAATCAAAAATTTCGATCAAAACTCAAGATCAAAATTAAAAAGGTCAATGACGTTTCATGTTAATAGAACAAATGACATTTTATCTCAAGCGTGATAATTGTAGATCGTGATTGGGTATATAGTTGCAGTCGAGATCATCAAATCGACCTCAACCGCAAGACCTTTCGAGAATCCTTTCGAACGAGGAACTACATCATCCAGCTTTTACCACATATATTTTACCCGGCAGATTTATTAACTTTAGAATTCAAACACGAATAATGTTTGGAATGTGATACACGTCGATATCGTTTCCTCGAATATCGTACAAGATCGATCGGACCAATCAACTGAGGCAACGAGAGACGAAGAAGAAAATTTCTCTTCAAGCTCTTCGGTAGTTAACAAGTTAATTCTTCTCATAACTTTCGAAGAGGAAGCAACGTTCGAACAGTTCTTCTCTCCGTTTACAATGCCTCGAAACAGCATTGTATCATTTTTTTATCAGATCCCGCGACCGATAATCTCGACGATGGCAGCGTCAATTGGCGCTATAATTGAACAGCTATTTATCGAAATGACGGCTGATAATTCTTTCGATAATAAATAAAATGAAGCTTCATTAAAGTCAAATTGTTCGCTATCGATAGAAGCCATAAACATTTTCAGATTAAATATAGAGAACAATTAGTATTGTATATCGATATCGTAAAAATATTTTTCGCACCTTTCTAAAGTTTCAATACAAATGAATTACATTGCCCTTTTTTGCCCACTGCCCAAATGTCTATCTCATATTTTCATTTCTGTTATTTATATTTACAATTGTAATTTACTTTTTAGCATAGATAGTTCTTTCGAATGGATTTAGCTGATCCGAAAATTAAAAATAATATTTTTGGCACGCATTTTACGACTTGCGCTTCTTTTAACTATGGCATTATTACAATACATTACAATTCACTGATGTTTTTTGCAAATGAGAAATCGTCGAGAATGCATCGTCGCTGTTTTTTGTATATAAATCTAAAATTAATGTTCTTATCTCAATATTTATCGGCTTTTGTCCAACGGCAGTAAACTGAGAACGAAGGCAGAGCACGAGAA